TATAAATGTATATTGATATAAATATAAATATAAAAGTCATTAATGGAAACACATAATAAAGAAAATATAAACATAATAAAGAAAATATAAGTAGTCCTTCATCCCTTATTCAATTAATTAAAAAAAATCAAATAAGATACATTTAGTCACTATTACTCTCGGTGAAGTAATTTGGAACTTCTTCTTCTGATGTTTCCGTTCCATCAAACTCTTCCTCTTCATCATCATCCTCACCCACACATTCTTCCTCTGCCACATATGGCAATTGCATGACCTTACTAATCACCACTTGTTCTCCCCCTTGAGATGCTAGTGAAACATGATCATTTAAAGCAATTGAGGGTTGCACCAATTGTGGCATAGGAGGATCATCGTCTTGATAATAAACATTTCCATCATTAATCAATGATGAAGTGCCAATTATTGCTCTTGCTCTAATCTTACATGCAGCAAACCACCCTTTTCTACAAGGATTTTGAGATGGGTAACGGGCATAAAACACTTGTTGAGCTTGACTGGTCAATATGAATGGTTCATCTGTTTGTAATTTAAACTAAGGATTTATGTCAACTATACCAGATGTCGGATGGACCACAATGCCTTTGTTGATATCATACCACTCACACTTGAACAAAATCACTGATTGATGAACATATGAGTCAAAATACTGAAACTCAATTATTTCCTTCAAACTCCCATAATAATCTGACTCATCATTGAAAATGGTTCCCTTCACACAAACATCGCTATTCATGGTTTTTTTATTTTGTCTATATGCGATAGTATGAAACCGAAATCCATTAACCCAATAACCATTGTATATCCTAATGTTATTGACTGGGCTAGTTACTAAAGGCAAAAGGCGAGAATCAACCTCATATCTTCCACTGTGCACCTAGATTTGTTATAAAAATATTTAATATTTAATCTAAAAATATTTAATATTTAATCCTAAAATATATAAAAATTGATATCTTACTAATAAAAATTATTAAAATAAATTACTTACCATTGTCTTAAACCAAGGAATAGATTCAAGTTGCCATTTGATTTAAATTTGATTGTCGGATAGACCGAAACATACTTGATAATCAAAAAGCCTACATGAAGAAGTTGGAGTAAACAATCTATACATACTGGTAACTTAAACAAATGAAAGTTAGAACTAGAGAACAGACGCAATCCATGGATTAACTTCTTCACAATTAAGCAAAACATAAAGTTTTACTGCCTTTAATTCTTTGGGTGACAATACACGTATACGCATTTCTCCACCTAGTGGTTGACCTCGATGTTTAAAGATAGATAAACAATTATCCATATTATCATTCACGTCGACAATGTTTCTTGGTTGATAATTCAATCTTGTCTCTATGTCAGATTCAAAATAATGCGAGCAAAAGAATGTAATTTCTAAAAGAATATTAGACTCGCAAATCGAAACTTCAACACGATTTTTGTTCAACACTGTTTTCTTAAGGTCATGCATTTTTCTGTTAAACAAATAAGAAAATTAATTAATAACATTAAATTATTAAATATGCTCATGAATGTTATTGTGATGCAAAGATATATTAGAAGAAATATACCTTTTAAAAAGATACATCCAACGAAATTGGACAAGTCCTCCAACTTTTGCCTCATATGGTAGATGGATAGCCAAATGCTCCATCAAGTCCAAGAATGCTAGCGGAAATACTTTCTCTAGCTTGCAAATGGTCTCAACAATTTTTTCCTCACATCTTCATGTTACTGACTTGAATAATCGAAGCAGCTCTAAAAAAGTTACTAATCTTTGTTAAAGGACCCCAAACTTCATCTATGAGGAAATCACGAAAAGCAATTGGCAAGAGACGTTGCATGAATAGATGACAATCATGGCTTTTCATCCCAAACAATTGAAGTTCCCGCATGGTAACATATCATGCTATGTTGGATGCATACCCATCTGGGAATCTCAATTCCTTTAGCCATTGACAAATAAGAGCTCGTTGCTCTCAAGTAAGAACATATGTAGCATTGGGTTTTATAATTGTTCCATCATCTTGAGGTATCAATTCTAATTCAGATCTATTGTAATGCAATTGTAGATCCAATCTAGCATTGGTGTTATCCTTCGTACAACCCTTGTCATCCATGACAGTATTTTTAATGTTATCTAAAAATTCTTCTCACAATGCATGACACTAAGGTTATAATGAATCAATAAATCCTTCTAGTATGGCAATTCCCAAAATATACTATATTTCACCCAATTATGAAAAACACCAAATCCTACAATTGAATGTTTACGAAGTGGCTAGCCAAAGACTATGTTAGGGAGCTGATTAACCCTTTCTTC